GCAATTGAAAATTTTTTAATACCATCAACATGCTCAATGCAAGGAAAGATCAAATATGCTTTAGCGCTGCTCAGCAATCTTTTGCATTTTAAGGTAATGAAATTCAAGAGTGAACGATTCATCCCAGTCGATTGCATATAAGGGCCAAAATTTTATTATATTTCAATTTTATTTAAAATTAAAACAAAGACATATTCTCAACCAATTTTTACTTTCCAAATAAAAAAAGAAAACAAAAACAAAGTAAATAAAATTATCCATAAAATTAACCTGACGTAACCGGGAGGAAGGCATGGAACTTTGGAGCCCAAATTGGAAGAGGCAAAGATTAGAGATTGTGTTAAAGGCCAAGTGATTCACGTCAGCAAGGGCGGCATTCAAAAAAGCAATCACTTTTATTAGAAAAAGGCCATATAAAAGGAGACTCTGTGGAGGTTTTAAAGGGAGTGACATACTAAAAGGAAAGAGGTTTGCACTAGAATGGGGAAGGAAATGCATAAGGGAAGTGGTCGTACAAGGTGGGAGGGGGTGGAGAGGAGAGAGAAAGGGGAATGTTTGCAAATAAGATGGGTAGGGTTAGGAGAAAAGAAAGAGAAGAAAAGAAAAAAAATGAAGTAGAAAGAAGGAAATGAGGTTTTGGAGTGTGATTGGTTAATGGGAAAGTTAGATTATTCTTTGAAATCTTACATTTTGTAATTTAATTTTCACAATTGGTTTACGATATTTGATTTTTAGAGGTATTATAAGATCTCAACAGTATCTAAGTAGCTCGAATTAGAAACCCACTTCTTTCTATGGTTTTAAAAATTTTAGAAAAAAAGTTAATTTTATCTCATAGTTGACCTCAATAATAAAATTTTTTTATTTATTTTACCTTTAAAAATCAATGTAATTGCATAATAAATGGAAATCAATTTTGACACAAAAATAAGCATTCATAGCCACATAATTAGGCAAAGCTACAATTCTAGCTATATGATTGGACACATTGCATACGATTGGATACGTAGTATATTACATATAATAAAAACATTTTTAAAAGAACAAACATAGTAGATAACTACAAATTTAGTTTTTTGAATTTTTTTAATTTTCAAAAGCACTATATTTTTTATATATGCAATGCAATAAATCAATTAAAAAATAATAAAATAAAATAAATATTTTCATATCAACAACATTTCTTAATTTTGGAAATGTAGTAATTGATATAATATTATAATATAATATTTATGATACTTTTAACTACATTTCTTATGTTAAAAACATAGTATTTGATAAAAAGATAATTTTATGTATATCAATAACTACATTTCTTATTATGGAATAAGAAACATAGTCATTGACATAGAGTAGTTTTAACTACGTTTTTTTAGAGTGTTTTAACTACATTTTTTATATAAGAAATGTAATGTTTAATATCATTAACTATGTTATATATATATATAAGATCGTGTTTTTTATTTTCAAATCGTGGTTGATAAACTAACAAACGTTGTGCTTAAAAAAACTACATTTTTTACAATACTACATTTGTAAAAAGACTACATTTTTTATGTTCCACTAGTGAGAATATTAGCCTTCCTTCAATCTAGTTCTGTAACTGTTACAAGGTTGCTAGCCTTATTAAGACAATTTTGGACACAACTTAGATATCAAATTTGAAACTTAGATATCAAATTTGAAAGTTCGATCTGTTTTTAAAGGGCAATTGGGATGGCGGCAATTTGTTGTAATTAGGACATGCTCAGATAAGTTAACTGGTGAGGTTTTGGCTTGCAAGTCCATTGCTAAAGATAGGTAGGTCACACCAGATGATTTCTGCAGCATCAAGCTTGAGATTGAAATAATGACTAAGTTATCAGGACATCCGAATGTTGTGGATCTTAAGCAATTTATGAAGATGATGATTTTGTGCATTAGGTGATGGAGTTATAAGTAGGATGGGAACCTTTCCACTGCCTTGAGAAATATTGGAGGTTTTCTTAGTTTGAGGCTTGTGATCTTTTTAAGCATTTGATGAAAGTGGTCAAGCACTATCATGATAAACCAATAAAGACTACGTTTGTACGTGTATAAACTTTGTGCTTGTTTAATTGTCAAAGACTGCTTTTCAAACTAAATGTAGTGGTTGATTGTTTTTCAAACACTATGTTTATTGTCATAGAAACATAGTGTTTGTTACAAACATTGCGTTTATATTTTAAAAAAGTAGTCTTTGACCTTATTATATATATTTTGTTCATAATATACCACTTTATTTTTAACATGATAAAAATGCAAACCTTTTTTTTTTTTTGTTTAATGGTCATCACAGGTTTAATTTTATTAACATAACTGGCAGTCGAAATGTTGGTTACGTTTTATTTACATGTAATGAAGGACATTATAATAAAAAAAACTTTTATTACATAATTTGAGATTCTACAAACCAAATATAGGAATCTAACATTCCTATCACAAGAAGAACCACCTATTGTCAAGAATCCGCAATTCTCCATGAATCACTTTTCTTTCCAAAATCTATAATTTCGCAATCCAAACAACCTCTTAAAGTTATATATGTATTAGAGGTGAAATTAGCGAAGAAAATTTCGTTGCTAATTCTAATTTTCTCTTAAAAATTATATTGTAAAAAAATAAATAAATGATGAAAATTTTTTGTCATTATCTTTGTAAGTGAAAATATAAATTAGCAACGAAATTTTATCAATAATATTGACATCATTTCAATACCTTTAACAAGTACAATTAGTGATGGAATTAGCGATAAAAACCTTTTTGTTGATAATTTTAATATTTACCGATAGAATTTCATCCATAAATCTGTTGGTAAAAATTCTGTCGATAAAAGTAAATATTACTTTCACTTAAATCCATTGGTAATATTTCGATAATATGTCAATATTAATGATTTTTTGGGATAGAAAATTTTCGCTGGTAAATTTTCAATGTTGAAAAGCTTTTTTTTTTTTTTCTTATAGTGCTAGATCAGACAAGATCAAACCATATCGGCCTTGTTTGTTCCTCTATTCTGAAATTCATTTCAACTACTTGATTCTTGAATCTTCATAATCTCTTATGCGTTTTAGGTCTTTCATTTCTTATATAATGAACATATGACATCCATTGTCCACAGTCACTCATCATGTAGTTTTAGTTAGGAATGCATGATAATCAAATCATCCATAGGATTTTATTTACTGTTATATGAGGGTGGATATTTTACAATTTAAATATTTCATGCTTCTCTGGTTACCTTTTCTTGTTTTTATATTAACAACATAAAAAATTTTACTTTTTATGTAATTAATTGATAAATGGTGTTTTGCATCATTTAATGATTGATAAATTATCCAAAATTATTAGTCCCACATGTATCTTTATAGATGCATACGTGACAACACAAGATATGTAAACTATTAATAAAGTGCATGTATTAAGAAATAAGCGGTGAGATATGCTCTTTGGTCTGTAAGCCAATCAGGGTATGGTCTGAAGTGAAAAGTAATGTTTGAGTTTATCCCAAGTGGAAATTGGAGATTTGATTACTTCAATATTTCATATCCAATGTCTAAACCAGGTTATTTAGTAAAGATGAAACTACGGACTTGAAACTAGTATTGATTCTTATGATTTAAACAAATCTATTAGCGACTTCTAATCAAATTTTGGATCTTAACATTGACATAACCATTAAGGGTGAAGTTTGCACTAATTCCATAAATTATTAGATTTTGTAATTCGTGTACTCATATCGTATAAAATATTAATTATTTATATATTTATATTTTATTTTACACAAAAATTATGTCACAATTAATACCTATAAAAAAACATAAAATATATTTTTTTGTTTTGTTAAATTTATATATGATTTTTGTGAAAATTTAAATCATGTCACCTTTGAATTTTTTTTGTTTCATGTTATATTTTAAATTATCAAATTTAAAAATAATTATTTAAATAGATCAGGATGGACACACGGCACCACTCACGTGCGTTATAGTTTCTTGTTATCATGTCGTGAGTCGATCCCCATTTTTCAGTGTAAATACTTTAATTTGAATTGAAGAGATCCACACCAAGTAATTGGTCTTGACATTATTGTGTAACTGATTCCGAGATACATTCAATAGCTTGATTTTTCCCAAGTTAGTATGGCAAAATTAAATATGCCTTCTCTTCTTTCACTCATATAATGGGGATGGCTATTTTCATTGCAAAAAATCTTGTTCCCCATGTCCTCTGCGCTGGCTACGACCCTGCTCTCTGATCCAACACCAGATCTTTTTTTTTTTTTTTCAAAGAGATCCGACACCGGACTTAAACTCGGTTCGTTCATAGCATTTATTTGCTAGTACAACCAACCTTTCATTAACTTAATTTGCAAATTAAATGCATTTTACAAGTAGTTTTTCAAAACTAATAATAGCATCAATGACAAAGAGTGTGATAACAAAGTCTTTACATAGTTATGACATGATCTTGTGCGGGGCATAGATCTCTTCTTGGGGACTACAATACTACTGGCCGGGGCACATACAATTAGATAAGCCTAGGAGTCTTTACTCTTTAGTCGTAATTACATATTAATGTTGATGGGAATTAATTAACAATGTTGAAAGTGGAACACTGCTAAAGAGTATTTCCTATGTTATGCTTTGATGCCTGCGCTAAGCTTATCTATTAGGTATTCAATGATACTTGGAAATCTTGGAAGTGATATCGTAATAAAGTGAATTGACCATGAGTCCATCGACAGTGATTGACTCATCAGCTTCAGCAGTTTGAATTTCTACTGCATTTGTTGCTAATAATAGTTCAGTGAGGATTAGTGGTGATAATCTTTTCATTACTTGCTGTAAATTCATCATTTCCTTCCTTGCTTATCATGACGCTATCAGTACAACAATTGAGCTTTGGCATACTCAGCATGTTGTTGATTGTTTTATACATATTTTTCCATGAACTGAACTCTTAATTCAACTGTTCCTTGAAATCAATAGCTCTTCCTCTGCTAGTCATGCTGTGCCTTTTTTTTTTTAGGCTGGATTATCATGATGGGCTTGAATATTTGAACTTTGATGATCTGACACCAGAAGCTTTTCGTTTCTCATTTTTCATTTTTTCAATTTTTTAATGAATTTAGTACTAAGCACAAAATCCAGCTCCGCATTACTATATTTTTTTTTAATAAGGCGATAAGGGTGTTTGGACTTTCCCAGTACATTCTCTTCCCGGACAGGTCCACTTAGACATTTTAAAGGCATTTCATCTCATTGCCAGAACTCAATTTATTCCATTATAAGGTGTATCAGCTTGAAGATACAATTAAGGCCTAAGAACTTACAATAATTGAATTCCAATCCTTTCCTACCAGGATATTATGGCTGCTGCATTCCATTTCCCTCAGCCAAATACAAATTCAGCTTACTATTATAAATTATAAATTGGATGGGAAACTTAAATATGCAAACAGAACATTTCCTTTCCTTCAGAATTCCCCTTTGATGGGGTAGTGAAGGCAGTTTTTGAAGCAAGGAAGACATGCTTTTGAGAAACTCATAGATTTCAACTTATTGAGGATTGTAACAGAGAGACCCTCTTTTTCCCTACTTATTGGATCGACCAAGCTCAAGTCTAGAAATTAACATTTCTGAAAGAAATAAACTAAGTTATTGTCGTTAATTTCATTCTCCTTAATAATGCATAGGATAGTAGCCGATATCCCACAATCATTCCTATCATGGTGCCGACTTCCTTCCCATCCCAATCAAGTCGTAATCCTTTGAAAGGAGACTCGCATGAACCTGATCCAGCATCTGAACCAAGGCAACCGTATTGAATCTTAAGTAACAGCCTGTATGTATGATACGTAAATGAGACGTATCGAACCCATGACATAAACGCTGGGACTCTCTGCGAAAAAATTATTCAAAGGTCAGAATTTGATAAGCATTGTTAATGTCGCTATCATCCCCTTTTAGCGACTTGTGCTTCCACTTTTGACTAAAAAAAAAACATTGACTAACTAGTGTACAGGAATCACACCTGGATAAAGAATCCGCCAGATAACATGGTTGCCATTATAATAACAGAAGCCAATGTTGATGCTTTCTTCACATCCATGAATGCCGCTCCAATTGTGAGGCCAAGACCCTGAAATTTTAGACAAAAAATTGTCATATAGTCTCAAAATCTAAATTTTTTATGTTCGATTATTATAGTTTACCTGGGCTGCAATAACACCTAGGAAAACTGTAAGCATTGTCAGAGAAAATGCTGTAAACGTTGGCTTCAAGCCTGCCATGAGATAGACAATTACAAGAAACACTAAAGGCAATATGAGATCCAAAGGAAGATCGCTAATCATTCTGGCCAACAAATAGGCACTGAGTCTGTACATGCCCACAGATCTTTCCTTAGCTAGCATCACTCTCTCTTGAGGAAATGTGAAAATGGCAGTGAACATAGGAAAGAAAGCCCAAAACACCGAAATGAAGAATAACAGTCCTGCCTGCAAGCGTTGTAATAACAACATTAAACATATATTTTACATAATGTACGAAGAGATTTTCACTGAAAAACTGTGTAACCAAAACCAACATAAGCATGTAAGTGATAGTTGCCTGATCCTGAAGTCCCTTAGGAGACGAAGCATCAGAACGCCACCAAAGTGAACCCATGACCATAGCAGTAGATAAAACTTGGGTTACACGCATGCAGCTGAAGTATTCATGGCGTCTCTCCTTAAGCCCCCTCTTGAAAAGAATTGAGAACTGATCCCACCAAGTTGCTCCCCATTCCATTGAATTCAACCTTGTCTGTAACTTAGGTTCGGCATCTATTAGCCCAGGTTTTAGGAACTTTGTCTTCTCCAACTTTGCTACCCGCACGGCATAGGCTTCCACCAGATACTGCAGTAGCGCAAAGTCTAGATTGTCTTAGGTGACATGGTTTAAAGATATATAAATAAAACTTAATTTGGGCATTCAATGTTGACCTCATGGATATCAACTTGGGAAGGCCCTCCACGTTTGACATCAAGACTTTTGTTTCCAGGCAAAAACCTGTCCTCAAATTCTGATGGAACTGATTTGCCATTTATGTTTCCAGTGGCTAGATCAATAAGAAACTCTGCTGGATTCATCGCTATGAGTGGAGAACAACCCATTGCAGTAAAATATAGCATTGCATCTGAGGCTTTGCCGAAGTACAAGGAGTGGCCTTTACCCAATAGAATCAGCTTGTCAAACTTGCTAAATAGTCTACTTGATGGCTGATGTATTGTAGTCACTACTGTCTTGCCAGACTATAAAGCACAAGTAAAATAAGTACTTAGTTACAATATTTACGAATCTTGACATCAAGAAAACAAAGTATTTTAAATACCTGTGCAATGTTATGTAACATCTGAACAATTCTAAGCGCCGTTGTCGAATCCAGACCTGATGTTGGCTCATCTAGGAATAGAAGTGATGGGTTAAGAAGAATTTCATTGGCAATGCATACCCTTTTTCTCTCACCACCAGAAATTCCTCTCAGAAATGTGCTACCAACCACTGTATTTTGGCATCTGAAAACATGCAATCAGTGTTTTGCTTTACAAACAGTAGAAATACTTGCAGCAACCTATCTGCAATAAATAAATAACCTATTGTTTGTTACCATCTAATGGAGCAAGTGGTAGTATCTTTATGTCTTAGTACTCATGAATATAGCAGTAAATGCTACTGTATTGGCCAATCCCCATCAGATGTGGCTGAAATTAATTTGAGTTACCCCAATTCGGTCATTTTAATAGGGGAAAGATTTAATTAGTTACAAAATCGCATAGAATGAAAATATTAATGAAGAAAGCACCTTTCAAGGCCTAGGTCGCTAATGACACTCATAGCCCTTTCCTTTTTCTGCTGCATAGTTAAGTTATTGGGGAGACGGAGCAGAGCAGCATATGTTAGAGTTTCCTTGACTGTGAGATGAGGAAAGGCAACATCATCTTGCAGTACAAAACCAATCCTGTTGCATACACATCGATCAATGACTCGTTAAATTATAATTCAACATCATATTTATGCAGTAACATATGCAAGCCTATGTTGGTGTATGCACCTCCACTTTAGTGACTTGGAATATGGTTGATCATTGTAAGTGATGGTACCACTGTCAAATTTTTCTCTTCCACTAAGTAGATTAAGAAGAGTTGTTTTTCCCCCTCCTGATGGTCCCATCAGAGCAAGAACCTCTCCTGGATGTACCAAGCCAGTTATTCCATGAAGTATGTACTTCTCTGCATTGGAGTTTTTTTCACCTTTAACTGGTACCTTATATTTAACATCTTCAAACTGCGCAAAAGTGAAAATTGATTTTCTCATTTCATTGTAATTTTAGGAGAATCAGGACGATAGCAACAACAGAACTATAGTATAATGGATGCCAAAAATATCGTATATGGATCACTGTGTGTTACCTTTAGACATATTGGTAATGTAGGCTCAAACTGTGTTTTCCTCCAAATTGATGCTTCTGATTCTTCATCAGCTGGATCATCTCCTGCTCCTGTATGATAGAGGATGATTGCCAACTTGACTCAAATACAAATTAACAACTCAACTAAGTTGTGAGATTCCAATTTTGTTTATTTTTCCATTGTGACATTTTAACATGAGTTTAGTATGTAAAACATAACACCATGAAGATAAGAAACAGAATGTAAGGCAGAAGACTGATGGTTGCTGTTTTATTCTTGAAAACATTGGCTTGTAGGAGCAAAAAATTATTGTTTGAAAATTTTCCACAAGCGCTAATGCTTATAATTTTTACCCCTAATCTGCAGAGTTGAGCAATCTGGGGCATCAACTGAAGTTAAGGGGACTTCAGGATGAAAGATAGATGAGCCTATATCATTGCTAGAAGCCCCAATTCGAACAGAATCTATCTCGTCAAAGCTCTCAGCAGTAGTACCAATCTCCATATTAACCAAGAATCGGGTAGTTGATGACTTTGTTCCACATGTTGCTTTCCCAAATTGCCGTTCCAATTTTGCATCCGAGTGATGCGACCCTTCCTGTATGCTAACTTCAGTATTTCCGTCTCCTGGCTGGTCAATACTAGAGGCTTTGCTGACAGCTGATACCATGATCGCATCCTTTCCAGCTTTTGTCACCTTTGCATCATCAACCACACCTTCAAAAGCCTGAATTTGAAACTGAGAGTACTGCTTCCCTTCCATTAGCTCTAGAAACTAATTTCGAAACAGAAACAGATCGCAAACCATTGGTCAAAGCTCAAATTAAACTAGCTGCAAAATTATGAAAGTAAAAAACTCTTAAGTTATAAATCCTAGAAGCTAAGAGAACTTCAATACATTTATATATAGTTGTCGAAATGTGTTAAGTGACACAAAACAGAAATTCTACGAAACCAATCATAATTTATGTATTCCAAATGCCACATATCAGAAATTCAGATGACGAAATATCAGAAAAGGAAAAAGGAAAAAAAAATCTTGAGAGAATGTGAGCAAATTACCCGAGGAAAATGGAAATGAAAGCCAAGAGGGAATGGAACTTGCAAAGAAAGTAGTGATCAGAAAGTGCAATGGGGAGAATGTTAAGTAATCATGAAGATTATATAGGCACAAAATATGTAACTGTACTGTCCTGACAAGACTCACGAAGCTGTCTGCACCCACAATAAACAGATAATAGTCCTCTACTATTTAATTTCCTTTTTGCAATGGCGAAAAGACTAATCATCATCTGGAAAAAGACGTGTTTTTTTTTTCCGTTGTTATATTCTGGAAAGCAAATTCTACATTCATTCTTTCAAGAGGGAAATCCCTAAACTCTGATTCTAATGATCTCTGCTTAAAATCACTGATCCTGGCAGAAATTTGAATTATAAACTAGACACGGTTTATAAGTCCATGATACAATTCTAATTTTGTCCTTCTTGGTAACTAACATTGTATTTATCCAAGAATGCGGGGAAATAAACAGAACAATCAAAGATGGAAAAGTTAGTGACTACCCCTTATTAATAAGGTGCCAATTCTGATATTTTCATTATTCACTGATCATACTAATTATTTTGTTTGAGCTGGAATCTAATGGACGCAGCCAAGAGCGACAAAAATCTTCACCAGAGGACGTTGAAATTAGGTTGATCCTGTGAAAGACATATGTATCTCGACCTAGCTACTCGGCCCAAAAACCATGATTCGAAGCATCCATGTCAATAAATAGATGCAAGTACAGGAGTTCCATTCATTTGCGTGACATGCCAAGTAAAGTAGTGGCGGAACCATCAATGCATGTGCACTCAGAACCGAAATCCATGGCGGTGCCCTGGATGCCAGGGAAAGTTTCGTATACAAGATTAAGAGTAGGCCCAATGAACGTTTTGTCTAGTGGCGGCAAAAATGGAAAATCGTACCAAGACCCTGGAGCTAGGCTCAAAAAATTTGGTAATGCTATAAATCAACTAAGTGGGACTATGGTTTTAATTTTTTTTTTTGCTTTTAATTTTCGGAGTTGAGTTAAATGAAATCTATCCGAAGATGTCGTTTGCTCTCACAGTTGCTGTCCGCCGTTTTACGGACAAAGTGAAAGAAATGAGTTACCAAATTTTAGGATCAGTCCACATCCAGGTCTTTTTATTTCACCTTTGTTTGGAAATCCCCATTTTCTCTGGTGAAAATGAGCACTCAATAGATCGTGAAAGATAGTGGGCAACAGGGACACTTCCCATCAATGAGGTTGGTGATGAGTCTTTTTCCTCCTGACCCAAGAAAAATGTGAGCAACTTTAAATATTTGATGGATTCGACGATAAACTTTTATCCGATTAATTCAATAAAATGTTGCCCAATTAGCGTATGGAAGGTAGACAAGGTTTGCAATTATTGGCTTTTAATAATTTCAAGTATAATACATGAGACTTGCGTAACCAAATTCTCTACAATTTCATTTGATTTGAAAGATTCGGAAGCTTTATGGTGCTGTTATATTAATTTTGAATTTTTTTTCTTTAAGGGAATATTTTAACTGTTAGAATTTTAGAATTAATTTAGAGATTTCAATTTTTCGAATGCTGAAATTAGAAAGAAAAGATAAATAAAATGGGAGAAGAGATTATCTTCCATTAAGTAGCTCAAGATCAGTAATCTCCATAAGTAACACAAAAAGATTTTTTTGTTGTCATACGAGCATAGTAGCCGCACAAGATCTCATTCTTATAATTCCAAACGATCCCCCTGCATGCAACGCACAGTCAATAAATCTTATTCTTGTTTATCTTAATATTCAAATTCGACACTTTTAATTTAGTATCTCAAATTTTAACGATGCTAGATCCTCTTTTCTTTGAATCTCTAGTTACTTATGTACAAAAAAATATAATTATTAAGATAAAATTAAGATTAATTATGTTAATATTATTGGGATGAAATAAAATGCCTCTACTAACCAAAATTAACTGAAAACTTCCTTGTTACCATATAAAAATAAGATATGAAAGCTATTAGGGGATTACATATTCTATTCAAAATCTGAATAAAAAACACAGTTCGTAAACATTAACATTGTGTTTGGTTTGAATGAAAGAATAAGGGAAAAAAAATGAATTAAGTGGAAAGTGATTCTTTCCACCTTTTCTTTATTTGGTAGTAAGAAAATTAAAAAAGAAAAATAAACGAGATTATGGAAGACTTACTTCATTCAAATTAATAATTTTACTTACAACTTTATCCCTAACATTTTCTTTTTTTAGTTTTTATCTTTTAAGCCAAATATAATGAAGTAAAAATATATTTTTTCTCTTTTTTCTTTCCTCGCATTTTTTTTTCTTGTCAAACATATACTTAATTTTGTAGAGAATGGGACAAGCAAAGGATATCCACGTACGACCTCATCCTTCCTCCGATCTTTACTTTTTTTTTTGTTTTTTATTTTTAACTTTTATATCTAGTTTTTCTAATTTTATTTTTTTATTAGATAAATTTTATAAAACAAAATCAATAGAGGTAGGATAATAAATTAATTCATATCTAGTTAATTTTAGTTCAAAACAATCCAACATAGATGCATTTTCTAAAAAAATCAAGATCCATTCAAGTTTTTTTTTTTTTTTTTTGAAAATGGAGTCCAGTTAGTGTTGGAAATATTGACTCAAATCTCAAACAAATCTCTTATGAGATGTAATTCTCTACAGGGATTAGTTTGAGATTTGTTTGAGATTTGTTTGGGATTTGTCAGATATTGCTTGATGGACAAGAAGACTTGCAAAAGAAGAATTCTAAAAGGAAAGGGATTCTTAATAGGCAAGTTTGACTTACAGGAGAAGAATTCTAAGAGGAGAGGGATTCTTAATGGGTAAGTTTGTATGATTATAAATAGGTAAAGTCTCTACAGGGTTAGATATGAGAAAAAAAGATGTAAGAGAGTTGTAGGGTTTTGTGGAATAGACACCCCATAGGAGTATTGGGACTCTACATCTTATGGGTGTGTATGTTTGTTTGTGAGTGGACTAGAGGAGACTGAGAGGGTCCACATAGGTATGATGTATGGAAGCATATGGGTATGTGTTTGGTTATGTTGAAAGAGTGCACAAGGGTTTTGGCTTATGTTTGTTTAGGTTGAGAATACTCTATAGGACTAGAGGAGATTGAGAGTGTCTTATGAGTATTGATTGTTGAGTGAGGTTGATGATTTGATGTATGTTTGTAATTCTCTACAACTAGTGGATCTTGTTTCTCATCCGTGGATGTAGGTCAGTTGGACCGAACCACGTTAAATTGTTGTCTCTTGTGTGTTTGATTTATTGTTTGATTTCGCTTCCGCTGGTGTGATTGGATTGGAGGCTTTTAGCCCAACAGTTAGAAATGGATTTAAAATGTTTCATCTCATCTACAGTATTTATGTGGCACCTCGCTCCTCTTTTTTTTCATTTTCTTTATTTTTTAAAGTTTTTATTTTTTTTTAAGATTTGCTTTTAATTTTTTAATTTTTTTTATGAAATAAATTTTATAATAAAAAGTTAATTGAGATAAAGATAATAAAATAACTCATATCCAATGATTTCAATTCATCCTGATTTAATTATTACGCTTTTTTTTTTTTAATTCAAGGTAATTTGAGTTGATTATTTTTAAAAATCAAACTCGACCAAAAGTAAGGTTTTTGGTGTTATAACTCGATTTTGGTATATATAAAATATATATTTTATTATTTATTTAATTATATATTTATATATGTATTTTATTAAAATATTATTTACTATCTTAATTTAATAAATTCACTTGTCATTTCGCTTCTACTTTTTTTTTCATTTTCTTTGTTTTTCTAAAAGTTTATTTATAAATTTTGTAAAGAAAAAATCAATGGATATAGGGATGACAAAATAACTTATATTTGATGGGTTTCAATTTACCACAATCCAATCCATGTAAATTTTTTAAAATAAAAATTATGTTGAGTTTTGTCACTTTGAACAATTTGAATCAAGTCATATTAGATTTAATGTACTTTACCCAACTCTTCTGGGGATATATGCAATATATATTTAATTATTTATTTAATTTATATTTATATATATGAATTATATTAATAAAAATATTATTTCATATTTTAATTAATAAAAAAATTACATTTATATATAATTAAGTTATAATTTATATTAAAAAATAAATACACTTATATTTGTCTATATACTGTCATCTATTAAAACTTAGCATAAAATTTTAATCTTTTATTTTAAAAATATAATTTCAAAAAATAAAAAATAATCCTGAAGTGTGAATCTAATTCTAATACAGTTTAAAAGCTGGGTGAATCTAATTCTAATACAGTTTAAAAGCTGGTCTAGTTTTGATAATGTTGTGCTTTCCCGTAATGTCCTACTCCAAAACCTACATTCTTGTAAACTAGAAAAATCACCCAACTGTGCCCGGGTTGCAATTTTTTTTACATTGGTGAAATATAAAATTTTTAAGATTTTAACTTAATAATAAATTAAAATTTTTAATTTTTTAGTATTTTGTTAGTTTTTTATTTTTAATTTTTAAAAAATATAAAAAATTATGTTCTAATTGTGCCACTCAATTACAATTGGATAGGTGTTGGCTTCTATTCATACATGATAATTGGATAGGTGTTGGCTTCTATTTTAAGTAATGGAAACTATTTTAAAAAAAATTATAAATTAAGTCCAAACTCAATAATACATACATGATAATTTAACTTATTGATACAATATTTACCTATTATCATTATTGATCAATTATCAAATTCAAACCAATTTACCCATGAAATCAAAGCTCACTAATATTATTACCCATTCAACTTAATTTTTTTAAGAAAAAATAATAATTTTAATATAATATGAGGGGCATTATAATAATTTTTTATGATAATAGGAGGGCATTTTCATAATTATAATTTTAGAGGTATTATAATAACTTTAGCCAATTATGGTAGGATAGGTATTTTAATAACTATGATATGAGGGGTATTATACTAATTTTAATTGATTATAAAAGAAGGGCATTTCAGTTAATTTGGACATGTGTTATTCAATTGTTTGGTAATTAGAAAGGCATTATAGTTATTTTTAAGCAAATTACTTTCATATTATTGTATAGATGTTAAAATTTAATATGTAATTATGAAGTAATTAAAATTATATTTTCATAATTATGACAGGAGGATTATAGTAATTTTGATCAATTATCGTATTAGGATTATTTTTCATAATTATAGTAAGAAGAGAATTATAATAATTTTGGCCAATTAAAGTAAAAGGGAAATTTTTGTACTTATGATAGGAGTGACAATATAGTAATTTTGGTTATTTAGAGCATGAAAGATATTATAGTAATTTACATGATGTAATCAAATGGATATAGCAAGGTATTTTTGTAATTTTTGTAAGGATGACATAAAATGCCATATGT